GCGAAGTTCGGCGATCAGAGACACCAAGCCCTCGTGTTTCGACGGATCTGCGACCCCTTTTTTTTCTGTCGTCGGCCCCATTTTCATCGAAGTCGATTATGCTCGAGACCAGAACTTCGTTTGTCAACGAGAACACTTGTCCTTTCTTCTCGAGATGATCGCTCACGACCTTTGCGATCACGTCGCTGTCGAATCCGAATTCGGAGGCAAAATAAATCTTGGAAATAAGGGTTTCCTTCGTCTTGCGCCGCAACCACAAGCACGAACTCCCGTGTTCGGCGTGTTCAGAAAGAGGAAGGTCGTCCGGCTCCCATTGGCACAGCGATCTTCCGCAGAAGAAACACCTGGCGTTATCTTCAAAACCCCCGTAGAAGAAACCCGCTTCCGACATCGACCTTCCGTCGGGTCTGTCGTGCGGCCAGTAGCGAAAGGTTTTCACCCTGTCTTCCTCGTCTTCAAATTTTGGAAAGGTAGCGGTTCTCTGCATAATTTCCTTTTGCATTACCTACTGATAATAGACTGATTTCTAATGAAGACAAATATGCACAATAACAACTTTATATTGTTTTTTTGTAATAAAGACTTTATTGAAGACAAAACAGAATATAAGATTTCGTGTTTTTATTTTTTCTTTAGTACTTATTATATCGGAATATTTTTTTTTTAAATTCTATTCCGAAGACGGGTTGTACTTCAACATTTTCGAGAACAGCCAGTCGTCCAGTTGCTGTTCCAGTTCTTCGTCTCCGTAAACAACCGTGTCTTGGTCGGAAATGTTCTGTTCGTCCGACGATTCGACTGGAAGCTGAGAATCCTCCGGAAAGTTGTCGGCGAGGTTTCCTTCTCCGGCTGCTCGTTCGTCGTCGACGGGAAGTTGAGAGTCCTCGAGAAAGGATTCCGTTAGGTTTCCTTGGCCGTCTGCGGTCTCAACTTCTCTTCGTTCGTCGCCGACGCCAACAGTTTGGGAGGTGCTTGCGTCGTCGTCGTCTTCGTCGTCGAACTTGATCCTTTTGGTATAAGGAGCATCCGACTGAAGAAAAACAATCAAAAAATAAAAATAAAAATAAAGGTAAAATAACATCACGTCACATGTTACGTCCTCTTTGAAAAATGACGTCCTGATCCTTGTCGCTCAAATCGTCGTCGTCGTGGTCGTCGTTGGCTTCGTCCTTCTCGCCTCGTTTGTCGCCGGATCGCAACAACCTGACCCCTTTCCGCGAAAGCAGGAAACTCTGGAGAACGACCACGACGCAGAACCGGATGGCCTGCGAGGCGGTGAGAACGATCGCCCAGTGTCGTCCGACCTTGTTGATCGGACAGTCGGCGGAGTCGATGCTGTTGGCGCTGAGGTCCAGAAGGTTTTCGTAGCAGTCGCCCAAGGACGTATCGCACTCCATCAAGTCCCGACCGTCGAAGGAGCACGGGCCGAGTTTGTAGACGAGCACATTTCTGACGAGGTCGACGGTGGCGATCGCTACGCTTGCCAGAGACGCCGCCTCCCACACGTCGGA